CTGGCAGGCTGGCAGCGTATTTCATTCTCGTACACAGTTGTGATCGAATGATCGATACACAGGCCCTTCTTCGGCGCGACCTGCCAGCTGCACGACCGTGCTGTGCACCGGCCTCACGACGGTGCCGACGGCGAAGACACCGGCAAGAACCAGCATCCACCCTCCAACGCCACGGCCACCGCCGCGTTCGTGGACCTTTCATTGCCGTCGTCCATGGACGATGCGGCTAACAGTTCGTCATGGCCGCGCCCATGGCGCTGATGAAGGAGGAAGCCGCCGACGCGGAGTTCTACTAGAAGAGGAGCGCGCCGGCCGCTGCCGTGAAGCCGGAGCTGATGCTGAGCACCAGTACGTTCCGCGCCTACACCTGCGGCAACGTGTAGTGCCCGCACAGCAGCAGCGCGCATATGGGTTCCTGGACCAGAATGCGCGCAATGCTCACCAGTACTTGTGCAAGTTCAACAACAGCCCTGGCGGCGTCGGCGTGGTCGTGCCGCCGCCGCGCCCCACTGAGTCTGTCTTCCCGGCGTTGTTCGGCCTGCTTGGCGGGTTAGACTTCGACCTGCCCGTGGACGGTCAGAGGTCGCTCACGGAGTCACGGAGCTGATGGACATGTACGAGTACGAGGCCAACATGGGCGGCGCGCTCAGGATCCTGATGATGAGCAATGTGCACAGGGGCGCTCCCTTGCTGATGTGGTGGAAGAGGGGGGCTCCAACCTCCAGGCGTGGGGCGTCATTGAGCTCGGCGAGCACGGCTCGCTAAGCGCAGGAGCCGGGAGGCTCAGGGGCGGTGGCGAAGAGAGAAAGGAGGTGGGTGAACTGACATATGGACCCCACGCCCCACAAATGTCCATAGTGGCAACCCAAGCCTACGTGGCATGCCAACTCAGTAAAATTGGTATGCAAAACCACTCTAGGGGGTTATATATCTGGTTTTCAATAGTTGAAGGTGTGGAATACATGGTTTTATAGGTGAAGGTGTTAAGCAGACGAGCAGCCAAACGTTAGGGGGTTATTTAGACTTTTTCCTTTAATTACCTGAACTCTCGATGGTACAAGATAGTCCCGAGCACCTTCAGGTGTAGACTTGGACAAAACAGGAGTCTCAATCTACCTTGGAACATGTAACTTTCGATCAGACATAACAGAAGGTTTTAAGTCAGGAAGTAAAAGGGAGTTAAGAACTTAAAAGCTATACTACTATTATAATCATTGTAGGTAAAGTGTCCTATGCACTGCCTTATTAAATTTAATGAGTCGTTGCTAGGTGATACAAGCAACAGAAGATGCCAGACAGTGAACGCATGATGGATCTATTTGACTAATTTTATCAATCCACACATACAATCTTCATAAGACACAGTTTCCATTAGACTGTACTGCTAGTAATTCTATAATAAAAAATACTGCTGGTGACTTTGTCTTTACATGATGATAAAAAAAATCAATGAAAATACATCGATATTATATAGGAGAGGTTGAAAAAAATAAGATAGAGCCCTGGACCGTCAAACCACAAGTTGAAGAATTAGAGCCCTGATTTAAGATTGGCCATCTAGCACCACATCACAAGAGGATATATTGCAATTCATCGAAAAATGTGGCCACTACGATGTATCCTGTTCCTAAGTGAAAATAGCAGGTATGTATATGACAAGAAGTAAAATATATTGGGGTGGAAACTCAGACAAAACAATGGCAAGTGAACAGTAGATATAACCAGCATACCTCAACAAATTCATGTTCATCCTCCAAGTAGCGGCGTATGAGTTTAACAACATTATGGCGCAACCGCAAGTTTGACTGCATTTGAGGACGACGCAAGTCCAACACTCTAAACCTACAGTATTCGATGATAAAAAGTTACAAAAAGGCACTCATTACTTAAACTGGAAGGAAAAAAAAACTGGAAGAGCATAAACACATTGTTTGAATAAAATTTGCATACTAAAATTTGCATACTAGTATCTTTAAGTCCTGTAAGGAGAAAATAGGAATGCTCTAACTTTTAACACGTGTTAATATCTAGCACAGGGTTGTTTGGAACAAGAAGCAAATTACAGCCAATCGGAAGAAATATAGTACAGCGGAATCCAATTGTTCGTTTTAGTTTTTTAGTCAGCCAAACTTCTTAAACTTGACCCATCAGTATATGAAAAGTTACATAGATTGAAAATACATGGTTAATATCAATCAATACATTCAATTGAAAATACTTCCACAGTATATATTTTTTCCCTATTTGAAATAGTACACTTGTACAAAAACTGAAAGTCAAAATGTCAAATTGTACACTGTGTTGATGTCCTAAACGACTTACATTTTGAATCAGAGGAAGTAGCTGCAGGTTATTAAGTTAGCAGTCAACATGAGGGCAATATAATTTCTTTAACAAACTGCATATACATGAAAGAACAACAATCACAAACTACAGCTATGAACAAAATTGGGTGAACAGTAAAATGAAGTGAAAGCTACTACAGCAATCATAGCAGTTACAAAGCATGAGATGAATAGTTATATCTATATACTTGTACCAAACTCCCCTGATGTCAGTCCATACCATTCACAGGCAAATGTGCAACTTTGTGGTCATGTATGTATAACTTTCACAGTGCAATAATGCATAATATTATGCTAAAACAAATGTCATGCACCCAATAGTTAGCAAGTAACCAGGTATGCTAGAATAAGTGCTTGACATTTGTCTATGCCGCAATACATGGTTGGCAATATGTTTTAGTCAATATGCAATGCATGGTCGCAAGCTGGCTAATTCAAGGGATTCACCATGCTTAAAGCTACTTCCAAAAAGTCCAGTGCACAAATTTTGAAAAGACAGACTGTAAATATTTTACCTCAATCTAATTTCTTCTGGAAACTTCTCTTTTACAGTATCAGCAATTGTAACTGGAAACGGCAGCGAACGAGTTACTGAGTTCAGCACTAAAACACGATCTGCCACAACCTTCAAGGTACCAACATGCAAGATAGTTAAATGGTTATGTTGGTTACTGTGTGAACTCAGTAGAAAATAGAAAAGCTCATGGCACTCAAAGAAACAAGTACTTAAACTATGCATTCTATAAAATGTGTTGTTCCTTATCTCATACATTTTGCATGTCCAACTGTACTGTGAATAAAGGGAAAGGGAAGCCTCTCATAAAGAGCAATATTTCTATAGTAGAATGTGTAAATACCCAATTCTAGTCATGAAAAGCCACCTCTACATCTATTGATGCCAAAACAACATAAGGTGTGATGGCTGCCAATCAATACAAAAGAAAATACAAAATAGGATTGTATCTTTTGACTACCATCGACCTTCCTAAACTCTGTATCATATAGAATATGCTATTCCTTATCCCATACATACTCCATGACCAAAACATACCGAATGAAGGGAAAGGGAGCTTCTTATAAACAACAATATTTCTAAGTAGATTGTGTATTTATCAAATTCTAGCCATGAAAAGTCACCCAGCTTATTGTCTATTAATCCCAAAACAACATAAGGTGTGACGGCTGCCAATCAATACCTCTATAGCTCCGGTCTTCATATCTGCATTGATAGCATCCACCGGGCGTGGCTGGATCACCCCCTCAACAGCAACCACTGACTCCACTCTCAGCTTGTTTACTATGTTGTAAACCTCTGCGTACTCTGGCAACGTTGTCACCTACACTACACAAAGTACCATATAAAAACCCCAGCAATGATCTGATGACAACATAAATATCAACAACCACAGCATGTACATACATAATCCTGTAAGAATTATCATTATGACAGTCAATGCATAAGTTTTTTTTTACCATAAGCAATGAATCATATACGACAAGTATTGCCCGTAATAAGAAAAGGTAAGCAGCCATAGAAGCACACATTTTCTGAGCAGAAGTCATTCAGACACAACTGTCAATCCGTCATGAAGCAACTACTGCTCCACTGCCCTTCTGCTAACTACAAGCAGTTGAGTCACTTGGGGTGGGGGCCAGTAGCTGATGCTGGAGGCCGAGTGCAACGCTTAACAGTACACGAATAATTTAGCAATGCAACAATCATTCCAGATAACACACATCAAGCAACGGAGGGTTTAGAGAAAATGTGAAATTAACATCAATTGCCGAGTTTTGTCTGTACAGAAGCAGCAGCTACATCAATGTAGACACAATTACGCAAACATGGGATCACGAAACAATGAACTGTAGCAGCTCGCAGCAATTACAACCATTTAGCTAAAGCAGCTACAGTCTATAGGCATACATACCCCACCACTACAGAAAACTGACATTGATGCAGCCTAGCACGAGGACAAAACAACTCACCTGCACCATGCCGGAGCGGTCTCGAAGGGTGAGGAAGGTGAGCCCGGCGTGCGCGCGGCGTAGCGCAACCCAGCCGCATAGCCTTACCCTGCGCCCGGCGTCCCCGGCGCCGAGCTTGCCGCACAGCGCATCCCTCGCCGGCCACTGCAGCGGCTGCAGCCTCTCTACCTTCGCACCAGCCGCGGCGGGCGCCGCCGCTTCCTCCGGCGGGGTCGCAGCCGCATCGGTGGCCGCCGCGGACGCTAGGGTTCGGAGCTGGGGCGCGGGGACAGAGGCCGAGGTCGAGGCGGTGGAGAGCGGGAGGAGGCGGCGGAGGTGCAAGGCAGATGGCCTGGGCTTTAGACGGGAGAGGAGGGAGAAGGGCGAGGCGCGGAGGAGGGAGGAAGCCATCGGGAACCGGAGAAGATAGCACATAGGGAAGCGCAGTTTTGGACTGAACTCGACGAAGAGGCGAAGACGTTTATCCTTCAGCACGAATCTTTTCACGCACTTTACATTGCAGCCGCAGCTGCTTCCAGCTGCAGGCTAAGCCCACCGCTCACCGAACAGGCCCGCACCCGGCGGCAGGCGCGACCTCCGGCGATCCTCCACGCCGTTCCGATGCCTCTTCCGCCGCGCCGGCCCCTCGCGGGCCACCCTAATGCCACTCCCGCCACCTCAGATTCCGGCATGGTGAAGCTCCTCGCCGACATCCTCCACCACACCGCGCCGTCCACCTGGCCGTCCGCCCTCGCCGCGCCGCTGCTCCGCCAACGCCTCGCCCCCGCGCACGTCTCTTCCCTCCTCGTCCACCCGGCCTCTCTCCGCCGGCCTGACCTTTCCCGCCGGTTTCTCCTCCTGTTGCCTTCCCACCTCGTCTCCCCGGTCTCCCTCTCCCTGCTCGCCCTCTCCTTCCTCTCCTCGTCCCCTTCGTCCCCGGCATCCTCCCCGCACGCCGCCTCCCTGCTCCTCTCCCTCGTGTCATCCACCCCGTCCGCGTCCTCCTCATTTTCGTCTCTCTCACACGCTAATGCACTCGCCACCTTCCGACCTGGCGCCGCCACCGCCGCCATCACGCTTCTTGCCTCCTCGTACCTCCAGCTCCGCCGCGCCCGCGACGCTGCCGACGTCCTCCACCTATCCCTCTCGTCTGGCATTGCGATGAAGCAGTACACCGCTTCGCAGATACTATTTGCTCTCATTAAGATCCGGCAGTTTGCTCTTGCCCGCGGCCTGTTCGATGAAATGCTTCAATGCAAATTTCCCTTGGACGAGTATGTTTACACGGCCGGAATTCGGGCCTACTGTGAGATAAGGAATTTGGATAGCGCAAGGGGACTGCTGGCGAGGATGGAAAGCAAGGGTGTCAAGAGCAGTGCTGTGCCATACAATGTGTTGATGTATGGTCTCTGCAGAAACAATCGTGTTCTTGAGGCAGTGGAGGTGAAGAACAGCATGGTGGGGAGAGGAATTGTCGCTGATGAAGTTACATACCGGACTCTAGTTTATGGGTTTTGTCGGACTGAGGAACTTGAAATGGCATTGAAAATGACTGATGATATGCTTAGTCTGCACTTTGTGCCATCAGAGGCCAGTTGCTCGTTTATGCTTGATGGGTTACGAAAGAGAGGGCACATCGACAAGGCATTCAGGTTAGCTTGTCACTTGGGTGAGTTGGGCATGGTACCAAACCTTTTTGCGTGTAATGCATTGATTGATGAACTTTGCAAGAACGGAAGATTTCGGGAGGCAGAAAGGCTCTTCAGAGGGATGACAAACAGGGGTCTAGAGCCAAATGAGGTGACCTATGCTATACTAATACATTCCTTGTGTAAGAGGGGAATGATGGATGACGCACTTTGCATGTTTGATAGGATGAGGGAGAAGGGAATCAGTGTGACAGTTTATCCATACAACTCTTTAATTAATGCTTACTGCCAACATGACGATTTTCACCAGGCAAGAGGTCTTCTGAATGAGATGGTTGAGAAGGGATTGACACCAAGTGCAGCATCATATTCCCCCCTTATAGCTGGTTTATGTCGGAAAAGGGATCTGGCCAGTGCAATGGAGCTCCACAGGGAGATGGCTAGGAATGATGTTTCAGGGAATGTATATACGTTTACAGCGCTTATCAGTGGTTTCTGCAAGGATGGAAATATGGATGAAGCAGCTAGGTTGTTTGATAAGATGATAGACAGTTCTGTAGTACCAAATGAAGTGACTTTTAATGTTATGATTGAAGGGTATTGCCATGTAGGCAATGTTAGGAAGGCATTCCAGTTATATGATCAGATGGTAGATAGGGGCCTAACACCTGACAATTACACTTACAGGTCACTGATAAGTGTACTTTGTTTGACGCTAGGTGCCATGAAAGCTAAGGAATTTATTGATGATCTAGAAAACAACTGTGCTGTGCTAAATAATTTTAGCCTTACAGCACTTATGCATGGATTCTGCAAAGAAGGAAGGTTAACTGAAACGTACCATGTTTGGGATGAGATGAGAGCAAGGGGAGTCAAGATTGATCTTATCAGTTTTACTGTAATTGTATATGCAGCTCTGAAACTGCATGACAGAGAGAAAATAAGTGTGTTACTTAGGGAAATGAAAGAAAAAGGTGTGAAGCCAGACAATGTGTTCCATACATGCATGATTGATGTGCACTCAAAGGAAGAAAATATAGTTCAAGCTTTAAACTGCTGGGATAAGATGATAGCTGACGGATGCTCTCCAAATGTTGTCACATATACGGTTTTAATTAATCATCTATGCAAGTCTGGGTATTTGAGTAGCGCAGAGATTCTTTGTAAAGAAATGTTAGCTGGGCGCTTCCTTCCTAATAGCTTTACTTATAATTGCTTTCTTGATTATCTGGCAAATGAAGGAGAGCTGGAAAAGGCCAAAGTTCTACACACAGCCATGCTTGAAAGCTGTTTAGCTAACACAGTGACATTTAACACATTGATCAAAGGGTTCTGTAAGGCTGGGCAGATCCAAGGGGCAATTGACCTTATGCAGAAGAATGCTGAGAGTGGTTTCTTTCCTGATTGCATCAGCTATTGTACAATAATAAATGAGCTCTGTAAGGTCGGTGACACCAATAAAGCATTTGAGCTTTGGAATGAAATGTTATACAAGGGACTGAAACCTGATATTGTGGCATACAACATTTTGATTCGCTGGTGCAATATTCATGGCGAATTTGGTAAGGGCTTAGGAATTTACAGTTATATGGTTAAAAATGGTGTGCAACCAAACTGGGACACATATGGAACTCTTTTCTTAGGAGCTTCTTTGATGACCACAAAGGGAAAAACTTTACTATTGACCACATGATGTTTGGGCAATGTTTGTTCTCATCTACTGGAATAGGCTGAATCAAGACAGATGCCAGTTGCAAAAATCAATCTGACCCTAAACTGTTGCTTCATATACAAGTGGCTATAAGCCTATAACATACATGTGCATAACTGCATATTGGCTTTTTCTATGCTTGAGCCGATGGATCCCAGTCTGAGGTAAGACACCTGAGATCATCACTTTTTTCTTTTCAACATGATGTTTCGGTAATTGTTTTGCTAATCTTTACTTCTATTACGATTTTGGTACATGTCTAATTTGACAATGTTGTGATTAATAGTCCCTGGTCCTTATAATATTTGGTGCTTAGAGAATTGTATTATGATGTTTCATTTTGGCCAGCTTTTGTTGTCTGTCTTTTTTTAGAAATATATGAGTTTGCATGGGTGTTGAACCACTTAAAGCTGATGAAACAAAGATCCGTCAAAACCAGAGAGGGCTCTGGTCCCTAGTAATGGTTTTCGCAAAAAGGGGCTGATAACAAACCACTTCAAAGTTTCTGTCATGAAAACTGAAGATTTTTTCTACCATTACTATGCGCGTCTCTAATCCTTGTCTTATCAATGCTGTTATCTTTTACTGGTTGCAGGTCAATTTGAAGTATGAAGATGATACACCGGTTAATCACAAAGGGTCAGGAAGAAAAGTGATCGAAAAACTGCATCAAATTTATGCTGCTGAACTTGCAAATAAAGATTTTGCATATGGTGACTGGTGAGTTACTTGTACTGGAAAGAGGAAGTTCCTTTTTTTAGCTATATCTCAGTTTGATGTTGTTTTCCGCTCTCTGATTTTTCATAGCTGGTAATTTGCTTGCTTGGCCAAAATAAAGCTGGTAATTTTGCATATGGTAATTTTTAGCTATATCCCATGTTTAAACATTTACTTCTAATACTAAAGTTGGGATTTATATTTTCCACATTTTTCAACAAAATTTCAAGGTACATTTTGAATGACATGGTGACACTTCATACCATTAACATTGCAGCAGTGATCCGGCTTTTGCTTGAGGCCCTGAGCATTCTGTTTGGGTAAAAACTAGTTCTTGGGATCTTGAGTGATGGCTGAACTTTTTGGTGCATCAACAAGATATTCCCAATGGATGATACATCTGAGGATATGCTCAGCAAGCACAACAATGGTTTGTGTACCTGCATGGCGTATCACTACATGCATTTTTCTTAGTGCAACATGACCATCAAACAATCTAATATATTATCTGTTAAGTAAAAGAAAACTGAGCATGTTCATTGTATCAGGATTACGCTGTTCATAGAATGTGACATCTTGCTCCATGCAACACTGAAACGCCAATCTCCGCGCATTTTTACTGTCACTTGTACAGCTGCTGAACTTCCAGGTTCTCAGTGTACCTGTTTCTTCACTGGAAAACAACTTGTCTTGCGACTGAAAACATGCAACAACACAGGTGAGAGTTGTAGCATCATTTCCAAGTTTGCTTTGTTTCTGCTTGCAACAGTTAAGTTCACCTTCAATATATTTCCCAATCTGATTTTTTTTCATCTGTTGCTAAGCTTCAGGAATTCTGCTCGAAGGTAACTGCTGGAAGTTCAGATAAAAGCACAACAATGGTGCCACCTTGTTTATAAAAAAAGAACAATGGTGCGACCTTCAATTATTGGACTTCTTTTTTATGATTTGTTTTCATCTGTCAAAGATGGAGGCTCCAAAAGATCTCTTCCATCGTTTGGGTGAAATTTCTTGACGAATTGCTCATAATATACTAGCTGTTTGCACTACGGATTCATGATATGTACAGGTAGCTGTTACAGGTCGAAAGGACAAGATCATTTTGTAAATATATACCGTATATGCTTTAACCCTTACAGCCACGAAATGAGCATACGTGGTAAAATAGGCTATAAGAAGTTGTAAATTATTCTCTTTGAAGAACCAAACCATGTTTCAGCGTTCGGCCATCCAAGAATGAGTTCGTCCTGCAGCTTGCTATGCCAAACATTCGGCAAACTGTGGCTGTCATGGAAAGTTTGGCAAGCAAAATTGAAGCCAACTTGTAACAAAGTTTGGCAAGAAAATGAGTATATGACGTGTGGGACAGGGTGCTAAGAAAGTGTGGTGGTACAGCATGTTGTGGTCATGAACCAAACAGTCCGTACATGGATTATATATGTTCATGGTTCATGGAAATGCCATTGACAATGCTGGTTCATTGCCAATGATGATTGCCATTATCTGATGGTTCATTAGGGTATGTTTATGCTTTTGCCGCTGCTTCGGTGACCATCACAAATTCATAGATGCACAGTACCTTCTGTCCTTGCTGCATTGCCTAGCCTTCTTCAGTCATGTATTAGTATTAGTAATGGTTTAACGAAAAGACTAGCGTCCGGACACCGCGCCGGTTGTCCGCTCGTTTTTAATAATGATACTATCAGGTCGTTTATGGATGTAGCTTCGTGCTTTGCTTTGTCTTATGCTTCATGCCTGCTGCTCGTTTATGAATGTAGCTTCATGCTCCGTGCCTACTGTCATGCCCATGAATACAGTTTTCCTCACCTACTGTCGTGCTCGCTTCGCTTCCTGCATGCACGCGGAGACCGCTGCGCTTAAGGGGACCACCTTTGCCTGCATCCCCTTGTTGCGACTGCTCATGAAACACTTGCAACATAAAAGCATTTGCTACAACATACGTCCGAAACAGATAAAACATTTACAACATACGTTTACAACATGTGTATGGGCACTACAACTTATGCAACATCTAGATAAAACACTTGCAACATATGTTTGAAACAGCTGAAACATTTGACACATACACTTGCAACATATGTGTATAGCCAGTGAAACATATGCAACATCCAGATAAACACACTTACAACATACGTTTGAAAATCAGCTAAAACATTTCAAACATATACTTGCAAATATATGTATAATCATTATAACATATACAACATCATATCTAATTTTACAACATCCAGGATCAAAAAACATGCAACATACATCTGAAAGCATGAAACATAGGGTTGCAACATATGCTTATCTACTTGATGCTCTCCCATGGACGCTCGTTGACGCGGAGCTCGATGCCATGGCACCAAAGGTCAGACTTTGGCCGTACGCAATGCAAGTTCACGAGCGACGCGAGGTGCGGCGGAGCGGAGCGCAGCGCAAGCGCGCGAGGCAAAGGCGCAGGTGGGGAGGCACGAGGCACGAGGCACGGGTGAAGCGGATCCGTCCCGTCCGGCCGGGCAGAGGAGAGCATTACCGATATGCAAATGAGGCCATAGATTTTCAGTGGTACAAATGTTTACATCACTGGTTAGTGGGCCCAAGGGCGCACTGACTGTTGGGCCTGGCTAGACCGATGCCAAAACCAACCGCCAGCACCCTGAAACGCACAGTTCCCTCCGGCTCCTCCCGCCTACACAGACCATGTCAGCAATCCGCGTCAAGAACCATCTCTACCGTTCAATTGCGATGGCACCAAACGCATCGCGGCCCTCCACGTCATCGATCCGCGGCACCGACTCCCTCCACCAATCAGAGACTGCTGCTCCATTCCATAAATAAACCGCACCACACGCCGTCCTCAAATCGACCGACCGAGCGAAACCCAATTACCCCAGTTCCCAGCAGCCACACGCCACAGCAAGCCGCATCGATGGCGCCCAAGGCGGAGAAGAAGCCAGCGGCGAAGAAGCCCGCGGAGGAGGAGCCCGCGGCCGAGAAGGCCCCGGCGGGGAAGAAGCCCAAGGCGGAGAAGCGCCTCCCGGCGGGCAAGTCGGCCGGCAAGGAGGGCGGCGACAAGAAGGGCAAGAAGAAGGCCAAGAAGTCGGTGGAGACCTACAAGATCTACATCTTCAAGGTGCTGAAGCAGGTGCACCCCGACATCGGCATCTCCTCCAAGGCCATGTCCATCATGAACTCCTTCATCAACGACATCTTCGAGAAGCTCGCCGCCGAGGCCGCCAAGCTCGCGCGCTACAACAAGAAGCCCACCATCACCTCCCGCGAGATCCAGACGTCGGTGCGCCTTGTCCTCCCCGGCGAGCTCGCCAAGCACGCCGTCTCTGAGGGCACCAAGGCTGTGACCAAGTTCACCTCTTCTTAGATTAGGTTGGTGGTACTGGGTGGTTGGTAGATGTGGCTCAGTTTATCTGGTATTGCTAGCGCTAGCAGTATCTGGTGGGGTTCGAAATGGATGGATGATGATCTGTGTGTAGTTGGATTGCGGTAAGAATTGTGGTGGTGCTTTTGGAATCCTGTTTCATGATCCAGAATAGTCACGGTGCTTGATTAACATGTGATTTCTGTCAGGATGGATGGTCTTACTGTAGTTGTCATGTTGTTGGCAGTGAACTGATAATTCGATGTGCAAAACTATCTGTCAAGTCTGGTTCAAGTGTGTTCTGCATTTGATAGTTGCTACTTGCTAGGTAAAGTATCTCAGTGCATTGAGATGGGAAATGTTGTACTGGCTGTGAAGTTGGATATCATGTCATGTTCTGCCAGAAGGGAATGAGCATACACATGAAATTTAGGTGTCATGTCCACTCTGCAAGTTTGATAGTGTAGCTAGGAAGCTGTGATCTATGGACAACATCATGGCAGTTGCTGTTCTGCTATTTTGGCCTTTGAATTCTGGTATCAATGGTAAATTTACTTGATATTTTAGAATATTTCTGTTGCTGTTGAGGAACATGTAGAAAAGATATGCTGTTTTTAGGGTTGCAAGTTGGCTAGCACTAGAACCCATGTATAGGCCATCTTATTAAGTGGGCATCCCTACTTGGCTCCTGTTATCTCAGGATCATGTTCGAGCAGCATGTTTGTTGACCACTCTTATGAATCCCAGCTGCTTGTTGCCTTCTATTTCTTGCAAGCTATCATTAAGAAACAAGATAGCTGGTAAGTTATCATCCTGTCCAAGTCCAACCTTCAGCATTGATGTTAATTGTTATTCTTTTTGCAGAGATGCTTTCCCAGCCACTGATGGTCTTTTATCAGCTAAATTCCAGGAGTATTAATTTAGTTGTGTTATTCATTGTGACTGTGTCCTGCACTGGTATACTTCATCAGGGGTGTTACTTGGAGTTGGAGCATGATGAGCAAAGCCCAATGACATGATCCAAATAGTTCTAAATTATTATAGGAATTTGGAATAGCAACAACAGTCAAGTCTATGGTTTTGTTTTGACAGTTATGGTACTCGCACAGTTAATCTGCCAATGGAATCTGGAATATTACTGGTCACTATTCTACAGTTTATCTGATTGTATTGTTGTAATGACATTGGTTAATTTTTTGTCAAAATTACGGGATTGTTCATGAATTAGTGTGCATTGAACTGCATTGCATGGTGAAACGTGTTTACTGCTCGGAACTGTGTAAGTTCTGGAGTAATTATGGTTCCTACGGCATGGTGGTCTTTGTACCTCCCATTTATATGGTTACTACTTCCAACCAGATAATTTCATCTGGACCTCAAATATATCTTCTGATTTGTTTGGAGTGGAGAAATTCTTGTTGCTTGCCATCACACTGCTTTGTGGATGTGAAAAGTTAAATTTGGAAATCATTTGATTCTGCTATAATGCTATAACTAAAACATGTAAAGAGACTTGTTATTTGTGCATACAGTAGATCAATGCTGTATTTCTATTGAGATGCTTAAGTTTTGAGCTATTGTGAAATTTGTTTGACATAGCTAAAAATGTGCTAGCTGAAATGATTCTGTTACTATTCTGAATCTGCCGTATGGAGGCTTATCTTTCTATTCCATCTCCATTATGAAGATAGTCTGAAGTATCAATGATATCAGCAATGTTTAGCCTTCTTCTAAGTTTAGAGTATTTCTTCAAAGTGGGCACGCCAGATTTTGGATGAAGCCAACCATTTAAGCCACCATTGGGCATGATCTCAAATACAAATGCTTTGAACCCTTGACCTTGGTGATTGATGCTTGAGCAGCGTGTGATGATCTTTATGAGACAAACAATGGCGCACTCTTCTCAGTGCCTCACATTCAACCACAAGAAGTTTTGGTAGATTTGGATTGTAAGGTTAAAAACCTTCACAGCAGCTATAGTTCATCTTGAAAAGTGCACTTATGTACTGCCTGAAAACTGCCTACGCAAAGCAAATTAGCTTCTAAGAATTCATTGATCCTATTTGTTAATGTACTGTTAGAAACTCTTTCGAGGTGCTATTAGTTGTGGTAGGAATGTGTTCTTATGCCTTTGTGTAAACTTCTTACAGGTCAATTAAATCAGTGCAATATCAAAAGCTAAGAATAAAAGTGCACCGGTTGTTACTAGATCTATCGTAAGAGACTTTGAATAATATTTTATTTATTTTTTTACATAGTTTTCATAGCATGGAGCTAAATGAAGCTGGGGTATCCCATACTTATTATTTCTAGATGTTGACATGTTAGCCAAATTTTTAATACCCCCCTTTCGCCACTTCTTGCAGATTATTGAAGGATCTAATTCTGACAATAATGTTAAATTTTGCAGTGTTGTTGGGATTGACCCTGACAAACTATTGTGTACCGGATACAACTGCTGAAGCTCATGGATCCTACCAATGTCTTCGGGAATGGCACTAGACAACTTATTTATGGACGTGTTGAATGCATTCAGTCGATTTATAGGCTGCCCTTGTATATGAGTTATCATCCAGCTAAAGTTCTTCCAGTCACCAGACAATTGATTTCCTGATAGAGCCAGGCTGTTAAGGTTCCTTAGGCTGCCAACTTCAAAAGGAAGGGCCCTCTGATAGGAAATCATATGGTAAGCCTAACTACATACAATTGAGTGGTAGTTTGAAAATCTCTATGGGAATTGAGCTGTTCAGACAGTTCATTCACATATCAATATCAATGTCATGCAGGTTCTTCAGCTTGCCTAGTTAAGTTCGAACTGGTCCTTCTAGATTGCTATTGAATGTAGGCATGCGACAACTTTAGCCAACTTTGAGGGATTTCCAATTGACGAATGTATGGGGCCTGACAAGAGTGTGTTGTACAAACCTAATTCAACTAAGTTTGCCATGGTTCAAATTCTTCTGATGTTAAACTTTATCTTGCTTTTTAGACAAACGTAGTTCCAAGGAAGATATGACGACAATCACCTATGGCGTTGATTGTCCAATAATCACATCAGTACCATTCGTTCGTTGTTATTTTGAATGTCTGCTACATTTATAATTAGCTCGTGGGATCTGGATTAGGGTGGGTGTTTGAAACTTTTCAGCTTTCATATGGCAGCATTTGTACTCACATCTTATTATCAATTATTTATAGAAAAAGGCATACTAATAACCAGTAAAACTCTCCATTGTTGATGTGTTTGACATATTTACAAAACATCCTTTACACTTGCATGCATCTATTTAAAGAAATGCAAATTTTTGACAATGGAAGGAGAGGATATTGACTGGTACATCTCAATGACAATCCTCTAGAAAAGGAGGCACATTGACGGCTGATGACACTCTGGACTTTATCTGATGTAAACAAATGCAGGTTATTTAGACAGAAAATGATAGAGATGCAGCGTCATATACATATCCAGTTATGTATACTAAGGATCATATGGAGTCTTATGGCCCATTTTCAGCTTTACTACTTAATTGTTGTTTCAAGTCACTGCAGAGTTGTCCACTCCACATTCCACCATAGGCGATCTGCTAACATGGAGGTATGAATCTCTGATAGCATGCATTTCAGTGGCTGCATCATGTATGAGTGTTCGTTCCCTAGGCTGTTTCTTTGAGCATGATATTCCAAGAGCAATTACAGAAGTCAAGCACTTCTCAATTCTACATCTTGTGGTGCTGTTAAATGCACCTGTGTGCAGCCACATCGTTGTATCGGCTAACTCCCATATTCTCTCTGGGAGAGCATCCCCTGAAAACCTGTGTAGATCTAAGGAACCACTAAACATATCATCTGTTGGGCTCCTTCCCGTAAACATCTCAAGCAGCAATATCCCAAGGCTATAAACATCACCGATAGTTGAGACAGAAGAACCTTCACCATACTCTATATTTGTGCCAAAAAAAGGTATTTGTTAGTATGCCATATCATGTCTATAAATTAGGAATAATAAAGACATACACAGCATTTTAAGTTACCTGGGGCAACATAACCAATCGAGCCTCTTATTCCAATTGTGCTATTTGAATTCTGTAGAGCTTCACTTGCACTTTCTGGAAGTATTCTTGATATGCCAAAGTCTCCAACTCGGGCACTCATGTCTTCTGCAAGAAGAATGTTGCTTGGCTTCAGATCACAATGGACGATTGGTGGCTGACAGTGATTATGAAGGTAGTCCAAGGCATCAATGATATCGACAGCAATGTTTAGCCTTTGCTCCAGGCTTAGACTATTTCTCAAAGTGGGCATGGCAGATTTTGAATGAAGCCAATCATTTAAGCTACCATTGGGCATGAACTCAAAAACAAGTGCTTTGAACTCTTGACCTTGGTGATTGATGCTTGAGCAGCATGTGATGATCTTTATGAGACAACGATGACGCACCCTTCTTAGTGCTTCACATTCAGCCACAAAACTTTTTATAGATCTAGTCTGCTCAAGGCGAAAAACCTTCACAGCTGCAATAGTAGTTGCTTCATCTTGAAAAGTGCATTTATATACCTCCCCAAAGCTTCCTTTACCAAGCAAATTAGCTTCTGAAAATCCATTGGTTCCATTTTCTAGTGTATGGTAAGAAACTCTTTCATAGTGTTCCTCAATTTTTGGTGGTTGGGATGGGCTCATCTGCCGTCGTCTAAGCTTCTTACAGATCAATTGAGTAGCAATAGCAAAAGCTAAGAACAAGAGTGCGCCGGTTGTTGCTAGGGCTATTGTAAGAGACTTCAACTTCTCTTTTCTGTTACTTTTCACCACATTTGTGCGGCATGGAGGTAAATGAAGCTCAGGTATCCCACCACAAAGATCATTATTTCCAGTGATTGACAAGTTAGCCAAAATTTTGAATATCCCCTCTTTTGGCACTTCCCCTTGCAGATTGTTGAAGGATAGATCTAATTCTGACAATGTCAAGTTTTGCAATATTGTTGGGATTGTCCCTGACAAATTGTTGTGTGCTAGATACAGCTGTTGAAGATCACGCATGCTACCAATGCCTTCAGGAATGATACCAGACAACTTATTCATGGACAAGTTGAGTCCAGTCAGGCCCTTCATATTGCTCAGAGATTGAGGTATTGTTCCTTCAAATAAGTTGTCATCCAGCCCAAGTTCCTGCAACACGGTGCAGTCCCCAATGCTATCAGGTATCTCACCAGACAGTTGATTTCCTGATAGCGCCAGGATGTTAAGGTTCCTCAAGCTACCAACCTCAGAAGGTAGGGTACCAGATAATGAATTGTGTGATAAGCCTAACTGTCTAGAAAGGAGTGGTAGTTGGAAAATCTCTATGGGAATTGAACCATTTAGGCGGTTCCTTGACATATCAAGGCCATACAGGTTCTTTAGCCTCCCTATGCTTTTGGGAATTGGTCCCTCCAGATTGCTATTGAATGCAACAAGTAAAGCCAACTCTGAGAGATTTCCAATAGATGAAGGTATAAGCCCTGACAAATTAGTATTGTACAAGCCTAATTCAACCATGTTTACCAGCTTGCCAATGCTAGCCGGGACTGCTCCAGATATGGAAGTATTTGACACGCTGAAGAACTGGAGGTTAAAAAGATTGCCAATTTCTGAGGGAATGCTTCCTACGATCCCTGTGTCAGCCAACATGAGGCCTTGCATGGTCGTTGAGAGATTCACAATTGAGGCTGGCAGCTGCCCAGTAAGACCGATGTTGGAGCTGATAGTGAAGCTTTGGAGCTGGCTGCAGTTTGACAACGAAGCCATGAATTCCCATCCCTCCGTGTCATTTGCTTCTAGCATGTTATCGTGCAAGCTTAGTGCTTCCAAAGCCCACAACCTCCCCAGTGCCCGGGGCACATGCCCACTAAGCCTATTTGTGATAAGATCGACAACTTGGAGAGTGGTGAGGTTGGAGAGTGAAGCAGGGATGGATCCCGTTAGCTGGTTCTTACCAAAGCTGAGGATCTTTATGTTGGGGAACTTGCTACCGATGTCGGACGGAATGCCCCCATGGAGCATGTTTCCTTGGACTTGCAGCGTTCTCAAGGAAGACAAGTTTAATAGGGAGCGTGGGAGATCACCAGATAATTTGTTGTAGTCTAGCGAGAGCCATTGGAGACCCTGGATGCCGCCTAGATCGGGCGTGATGCTGCCCTCCAGCTGGTTTAATCCAAGGTCCAGGATAGTCAGAGACGACAGGTTGGCCAGTGATGCCGGGATGGTGCCGGTGAAGTTGTTGCTGAAGAGATCGAGACCCCTGAGGCTCTTGAGGTTGTCACCAAGCTCGGGTGGCACACGCCCATGGAGCTGGTTGGAGCTTAGGTCCATGGACACCAGACTGGTGCAGGAGCTCAGGTTGGTGGGGAGCTTACCAGAGAAGGCATTGTGGCTTAGGTCAAGGTTATGGAGGTGTTGCAGGCGGCCGAGGCTCGCGGGGATGCCATCGCGGAACCCGTTGTTGCTCAAGTTGAGAGTCCAGAGGGATGACAGATTACCGATGGCCGGCGAGAGGACGCCTATGAGCCCACGTGAGGGCAGGCTCAGCTCCACCACTTGCCGGTTCTTGCCCCAGCATCTCACCCCCTCCCAGCTGCAGTACCCACTGCCACCGGCGCTGGTCTCGTTCCATGAAGCAAGCGGGTCAACGTACCCGCCGCTGATCGCCGCCGCCTTGAAGGCCAGAAGCGCGGCCAGCTCTTCGTTTGCTGATGCGGCGGCGAGCATTGAGATGGACATGGAGGTGCATAACAACAGCAGCAGCAAGCTCAGTGATCGCATTGCCATGCCGGTTGCTTTGGCACCTGAGGACGATCGAAGAGAAGTGATTGGTGTTGTGTACTGCTAGCTGATGCTTGCTAGCGCTATTTATACTGTAAAGTACAAGCCTTGATGCACCACCAGTGACATGTGAATTTGCTTGCCAAAAAATTGTAGTGGCCGGCCACTGTGTATTCTGTATAGGGTTTACTCTTGACTTGGACAGAGTCCGCGTACCCACCTTCCACAGGAAATTCCGCATTTTCCGGTCCAGGCTCCCATGTCTAGCGCTGCTATTTGTCATCTCCCTCGTGGAGTACCTTTAGTCCCATAGAGTGACGTTCAGGTTTTGTTCCTAGTTAGAAAATACTAACTCTGTTCTAATTTTTTTTTCGAAAGCGCGCTTGGCACATGCTTCGTTAAGAGATTAAGAGAGGTGATCCTGGGATTACTTTAGTAATTTGCGAGTCTTATGTATCTTTGTACTAACTCTATTCTAAATTATAAACCGTTTTGGCTTTTTTAGATATATCGATTTTGTTATGCACACTAGATAGTACACTAATATATCTGTTCGGCTGCAAGAATAAGCTGCTGCGGCTGTTGCGATGCAGCTGCTTATTCTGCCCCACAAAGCATTGTGGCTATAGTAACTGTAACATCCCAAAAAAATCAAATAAATAAATCATGCAAATTCAAAACTATTTTCAAAATTATTTCAAAAACTAATTCTCAATTTAAGCTCTAATTTATTCCTTGTCCAGATATTTTCCAGCTCAGCTAATTATTAGTCTATCCTGATCTAACTCCAGCTCTCACTATTCTTCTCCTTCCTTATCCCCCAAGCACACACTCAGCACTTGTAGAACAAGCTTGTATAGGCCCTGTTCGCTTCTCTTATAATCCGTACTTTTCAGTTTATTTTTTTAGCTGGAACAGTGTTTTTCTCTCATAACCAATTAGTCGGAACAGTGCTTCCAGCGAAGCAAATGGGGCCATAGCACGCTTGTAGTACCCTTTGCTACCAAGCTTCACCGCAGAACCATTACTTCGCCATAGCGAGTTAGGCATTGACCTGATCTGCTTAGCCCACGCAGCACGCGTACAGCAAAGACCAACCGTAGTAGCTCGTAGAACTCATGTGCCATCCATTAATGGCAAGCTGTATAACTGCAGCCCACCCCGTGATAGCTGATCACGAGGTCAGTTTCAGTGGTGGGTTTTATTTTCCAGTTTTCAATACTGCCACGACAGCTTTGTATGAATAGATTGAGAAATGAAACTAGATCTTTCGGTGTGAGTTTTATTTGACTGTTTTCAAGACAAGTTGCAGCAGTTAATATATGCATGATGTTATGATCCTATATATCAGGTAAACTATGTAGCCATTTGAAAATATATCTTAGCGCGCGTTTAGTTCCTTAAAGTTGGATTTTGAGGCTACTGTAGCACGTTCGTTTTTATTTGGCAAATAGTGTTCAATCATGGACTAATTAGGCTCAAAACGTTCGTCTCGCAATTTTCTACCAAACTGTGCAATTAATTTTTTTTCGTCTACATTTAATGCTCCATGCACGGGCCACAAACATTCAATGTGACAGGTACTGTAGCAACTTTTTAGAATTTAAGGTCCAACTAAACAAGGGCTTAAACTAAATGTAGTCACTTTTAAACTAGAATATACGTCAAGCCGCCAAATAATCATATAAAATAAGGACAAATGGCTACAGTATATGTCACTTTGGAACTACTAAAAAGCTTTCATACTAGAACTTTCGTTCACACATGCACACCAGAAATAAGGACAAACGGAGTCAGCTTTCACATCATAATTTTAATCCATATTCTCTCTGTCCTAAAATATCTGTTATATTTGCTTCTCAAGAAACAACTTTGACAAAATATATATTAAAAATATTAATATTTACGGTATATAATTAGTATCATTGGAAAGATTCTTAAATCTAGTTTTTTAATAAATTTATTCGGAGATATAAATGTTACACGCATTTCTATAAATTAAGTCAAACATGTGACACATAAATCAAAAGGGACCGATAATTTGAGACGGAAAGAGCAGGTGAGACGGTGCGAGCATGTTCCACCCTGAAATGTCAGGTTCACACATGAGATTAACCGAAGATAGCACCAGTTCACACATGCATTCGTCAGGAGCGGATCGGAGCGCAGCGCGCCGGCAGAGCAGATCACTCGAGCACGTGGGAGGGGTCTCAACGGGAGTTTCACTTCGTTTCATTGTATTGGTAACAATGTCAAGCGAGTTTATTCTCCCCTCTTTCTTCGTAAAGACCTTATCAACTTAGCAGATTTGATGATGTGGCATTGCATTAATTGGAAATGAAACTCTAATGAATCTCCATTGAGAGTCTTCTTCTCCGCAAGCAATCAATGATGGCCACCCCGTCCACCACTCCTCAGAGTATGCGTGCCATTAATAGGCCATTGCCAATTTTTCGTCCCGTGCCCTATGACCTAATACCTTGTTGTTGCTGCGGCTCACCAGAACGTCGTCGCCATTGTCATAGGGTGCTCGCCATCGTGGAGAGGTCCTTCTACGGTGTCTCGGCTCGTACAACCGTCGCCCATCGCCTCGCGTCGACCCCTTGGTGAGATTCGGCGTCTTAGCTAGGTTAGCATGGCTTAAACAAAAATACTATAGAACATGTGTGGTGGCTAGCCAGATGCTGTTACTTCGCCGCCAGTCTTGTGAGGGAGGCTTAGAGGCCATGCCGTTGTAAAGAGGAGAGAGTGCAAGGGTCTTTTTGCATAGCTGTTGTCTCTAGGAATAGTAACGTGGACTGCGGGTTGTTTTGTTTAAAGTCTAGGGGCGCTTTTGCTAATATGTCAGCACACACGCGGGCTCCTCGTCGTGGGCCACATCCTCACGCGGGCCGCACCTCACGTGGGCCGCGTTGGGCTGGGATACATTGGTTCGCGAATCATCGTTTCTGTGAGACGGTATCGACTTAGCTATGGTCTAGCACCGTAGTAAGAACTGAAATATGAAAGATGGTAAAATAGTTCTGATTGCTTACCACCTGCTTGAAAGTAGCATGGGTGCTTACATAGAATGGTTAGTTAATGAACTAATGATGACTGCTAATGAAGTTGAATATAAGGACGCACGATTAGTAATGCTTCCGCGGATGCAATAACCCACAAGCCAGATAGCCTTGCATATCCTTGGAGTCTTTTATTTTTCTCCAGTCGGGTAAGTCTTGCTGAGTACAATCGAGTACTCAGTGTTTTATTCCCCTGTTGTAGGTGATCGGAGGATATTTAGAGCTGACTCTTGTGTGTGGAAACCTCCTGGTGGGCTCAGAAAGGATTCCGTTCACGCTACGACCGTAGTGTTTATTTATAACCCTCGCAAAAGGTTTTTATAAGAAAAGATATAAAATCTGCTAGCAACTCTTGTATAAAAATGTCCACTATGTTAATGCTCCACCATGTCCTTAAATTAATCCTGCTTCCTCTGTAACTCTGATAACATTGTTATATTCCGTTGTTATAATAAATCGACATAATATTCTAGTATTATAATAAAGTGATGTAAGAAATGACTTAAGAATGTTGTAAGCTTTATTCTCTCATTTATGATCCTGATAGAAAAATATGGATTTTTTAGTTCTCCCTTGGGGTGTGCTCGACGAACTACGTAGTTTAGTGTCCTCTCTTAGGTACTTAGTGTCTAATAGAAGACAAGTACTCCTAGGAGACATTAGATTAGGCGGTTCTGCCACACACTTGTGTTGTCCTCGGCTCGGACACCGTGGTCTGCTCGGGCTCCTGCTTAGAGAACGCCTTTACTGTGGTGCCGCAGGACCTCCGTGGCCGCGCCGGTGCCTTTGCCGAGAGGATCAGCCCCGGCGTCTGCGTCCGCGACGACAGCACCTGGCGCGCACGCCAATGCGACTTCATGGCACAGTCGCAGTAGTTCTGCAGGCGCTCCGGTGGGATGTGCGACGCCCTCGGTGACAATTCACCGTGGACACCCTTCTCTACCCCCATCGTCAGCCTCCGCCGTCGGCATCGTCATCGAGTAGGCACGTGTCCAAGGCTTGGATCGCGTTCGTCGGGGTGTTGACGCACCATCTTCAAGGATGCAGAGAGCGGGAGCCCTACTGCCGCTTCTGCACGCTGCGTAGCCTCGGCTGCTCCACCGCCACGGTGCGCACATGCCACTGCTGGTGCTACTTTCAGGCGATGACTTCGATCTCTTTGGCGAAAGAGCTGTTGAATTTTTTTGAATTTAAGGAGTTGTTGCATTGATGATGATGAAGTTGTTGACGAATGCGTCGTCTCTACGGCTGGCCGGCCGACTTGCACAGGTGCACGTACGCCTTCCTGGTGACTGAAGAAGCTTACTGCTGTTATTTGCATATACGTGTACATACTTCTATTAGCTTGTGGGACACACACATGCAACTTGCTGGCACACCTCACGTACGTAGACGATTAGTTCATGCATCCTGTCTCTTTTCTTTATCGGGCAAATACGTGAATGCTTATGCATTCTGGTTACTAGCTAGGTTCCTGCTAACACTATTTAAGTAAACACTGGAAAAATTATTATGATGTATTTCTCGTTTTTGTCCCTTAGCTACAATTTATTGTTGTGATGCCTTATGCTTTATCTGGTAAGTACAAGTACTTGCTTTCGAGGATGATGATCACGACGCTCCTCGTCCGTCTAAAACTCTCTCTTCCATAGTCAGTTTGGCCACAAAAGACTCATCCAGAAAGTGGCACAGGAGGAAAATGAAACTTCAGCTTCCTTCTCAAGTCTAAGGGCATTTAAGTATTTTCGTAGCTCCGTTTGACACTGTTAGCACCCAATATGGACGGAATGGTGTGAAGAGCAAAAAAAAAGTTGACCAGTGACACCGGTGACCGCTCAAACTTTTTAATGGCTTGTGGATAATTACAAACTTTTATAATGGCATACATATAAAAGCCTCGAATGAGAGAGGGAGGAAGGGGATATATAGTGTAGGGTTTTTTAGGTAGGCCAAATTGGGCCGAAGGTCTGCATGGGCTGAATTGCTATACAATATAAATGAGAATTTTTAGAGCACTTTATGATATTATTAATTTTTTTTGTCGGAGTTGTCAAAATAGTAGTTTGAGTAATGTTCAGCAAAACACTTAATTTTTCCATCGATTTCAGGATGTGAGCTCTAATAGAACATGCCTTCTTACATATATTTCTTTTCTAATTTTTAGACATTGTTAGATAGGACATATAGTTTAAGTTGTAGTATTTTCATTCTAAAATAAAAGGAAAAGGGAAGGTATGGGGACATAATGTGAGTGTATAAGCTTTACATAAAATTTTTAAATCATTTTAACAAAGTGGTACTATACGTTGTTCACAATGGACACATCTCTCACATAGTTTCTTATAACCATGTGAAAGATGTACCATTTGTGAGCAATGTATGGCACTCTTTTTCAAAGACATTTGAAATTTTTATTGGAACATTGTACACCAGGAACATATTGCCATGCAAGTTTGTACGATTTTCTAACAACGTTTCAAATTATTACAATTATTTTATGTTAATTTGGATATAGAAGGATAGATTATCCATAGCAAAACAAATGATTTTTTCCTTTCATCTCTAGATACGGCCTAGAATGAAACATATGAGCATAAATACAAATTTTAGAATATTTTTGAAATCTTATTGGAGGTACCCATCTTTCAATTTGGAATTACTTTCGATAAGCGCACATAAATTCATTAGACTACAAAAAGTAGAAAATCGGTTCCGAAAAATTTGAAACTTCAACACAACAGTATGTATGTAGCCTATTTTATGTACAAAGATGTTTGGAGTATGAAAGACATTTTATAAAGGTTGTTTCACAAGGTGCTTTCTCTATATACATGATTAGAAACAAACATATGTAAAAGAACCAAGAAATAATAATCAGTATCCGAACAAATGTTGTTAATTGGTATATCATGATTTTAGACAGAACTAGGAAAAAGAAATATATCATTTGGAGTTAGCATCAGGGAGAAATACTAGTTACAAAATTTCTCCGCAGATTAAAAGGAGAAAACCTTTTGTTCTTGTTCTTGAGTTTCTAGTATTTTCATGTGTGTTTTCCCAGAAACCGTCAAGATAATTCCATTTACCCTAACTGTTTATGCAATAACCGTCAAAACAAATACGGAACCGTCAGGGAATTATGAATTTCACTGATGGTTATGTGCACTCACAGGTTAATTAGGAATTTCCCTGGTGGTTATTTAATTTTCCTGTATGTTTTCCAGAAACTGTCAAGATAATATCAATTTTCCTGTGTGTTTTCCGAAAACGGTCGAGGTCATTCTATTTACCCGGATAGTTTATGTAATAAAAGCATCAGGGAATTTCGTGTTTCCAGCAGTGTAGGTTTATATGAAAGGTTATTTATAATACCAAATAAGCGTCATGAAATATATTTCCATATCTATTTACTGTCATAAATGCAACGAAATTAGCTAAGCATATGATAATTTGTCTTAGAACAAAGTTAGAATCTCACTCTTTGTGATACGGAGGTAACCTTCATCCCAAAAACTGCAGTTCAATTTTAAGAGTAGACCAAGAGTCTAATCTTCTTCAAGTTTGATTAAATTTATTCAAAATAATATAAACATTTATAACTCTAGATATGATATCTTTATATGTTTCATGATACATTTAATGTTAAATATTTTTATATAAAAATATTTAGTCGAGTTTGAGATGGATTAATTTAGAAGAAAGTTAAAGTTATCTTTCTCTAATATCGAGGAAGTGCTACTTAGGGTGTTCTCAATGGCAACTTGCAAATAGCTAGTTAGATTAGGCTTGAAAATAATACTAAAAAAGAACATTACAGTGAAGGGCTATAGGGGAGCTGTAAGAGAGTACTTTATGAAAAGTCGTGCTAGATTAGCTATTCTGAAGTTGTTAGCCATTTGATCTCTCCTTAACTCCTTAATAGTTGAGACTTGCTCCGGCGGTCCTCCTAGAGTATTTGCATGAATCTTAAGCAGAAATATTTAATTAATTTAATCCATCCTTTGTATTATTTGGGTCCATCCCAATCCGTGCTTATAGCAAGTCCGGCCCAACTCACACCCACGCCGATATTTTCGAATCAATGGATCTCATTTTAGGCCCAATTTGGTAGGGTTTCTTCACCGGCTTTAGGAACCGTTTGGAGTTGTTTCGTGCTAAACGGGATAAAACAAAATGGCTTCATCCAGAAACCTCTTAAATCATGCTCTCACATAGGTTTGAGGTGGGAAGAAGTAAAAATAGTGGCATCACCTAGCTTCATCTCATCATATATGGTGATCTGTGAGAGCATGTTTTAAGGAACTCTATGTGAAGCTATTTTACCAAACGATTTACCAAAACGGCTCTAGCTTTGATCGATGGAGCTGTTCATGGAGCTAAAATCCAAAAAACAGCCTCACTAGTGAATTAGAGCCATGCCAAACGGGGTCTCAGTAGCGTTCTACTCTGGTAGTAGCGCGCATGGCAGCGGCGGTCCGGCGGCACCACCCAGCGGCCAGCGTCCGCTCCCAGTCCCATTCGTAGCAGCCAGGGAGGCCACGGTCTCGCGCGGCCCCGAGCCCAGGCGCAGGATCATGGCAGTCATGAGCGACGCCCGCCGAGAAGAACAAAAGTCTGTCGATCCCACTGGGGGGGGGCGGCTGTCCGCCAATGGCTCCCTCCTCTTGCCCTGTTCGTTTGGCTGATAAGTCATGGCTGAAAGTATTGTTGGCTGATTTGTTGTGAGAGAAAAATACTATTCGTTGACTGAAAAAATACGGCTTATACGTCGAGACGAACGAAGACGATGCCTCTGCTCGGTCGACGTCGGGGCTACCGGGACACGCTCGACGCCATCTCATGGGGCATCGTCGCGGTCCTAGATCGTCACCTATTTCGACGCTCGGCGCGGAGGGGACTGTTTAGCCGGCTCCTTCCCCTTTTGTGTTCTTGTTGCTCCAAAATATATCACACCTGCCGAAGGAGACTTCAACGGGGCTTGTCGCACGGCGGAGGCAGGATCGATCAATGGGAGCCACCGCTGCCCGCTGGTGCCGTCTGTTTGCGCGATAAGAGCAAGATGCAAACAAACAAGCGCAAACTGTCAACTGACGATCCACAGTTACTTTTTTTTTTTAGAATGATCCACAGTTACCTGATTGAGCTGGGCCAGACCAAAGCAGACCCATTACGAAATTAATTATGATTAATTATCTGGTTGCTTTAAGATTTGTGCAAAATACTGCGGGAGGACCACCGGAACAAAACTCTAGTTTGTTAATAGAATTATTCTTAGACTATAGCTACTACGGGAATCATCGGACGTCTTCACTAGTGGAATTATTGAGCCGCTGTCAGCCCCTTTGATTGCTTGACCATGATGTTTCCGACGTTGACGTTGACCGATGACCGAGGAGTCTGCCAAACCCGAATTTTCCGTGCAGTTGCCAATACATGACATTTAGGATAACAAGGCCTTGTTTAGATTACTTCCAAATTCCAAGTTTTTTCACTCTCTCTCCATCACATCAATTTTTAGCCGCTTGCATGGAGCATTAAATGTAGGTAAAAAAAATAACTAATTGCACAGTTTAGTTGGAAATCACGAGATGAATCTTTTGAACTTAGTTGGTCTACGATTGGACAATATTTACCAAATAAGACGAAAGTGCTACTATTCATCGGGTTGAAATTTTCTTCAATCTAAACAAGGCCCAAAAACTAGTGCTAAGATAAGGATTGGTTCGGCACGATTCCGGCTCTTCTTTTAAGCAACTTTTTTTTTTATTTAAAGCCATATTAAAAAATATTTAACAAAAACAACTCACGGGACAATTTTAAGGGGGGTTTCGTGAACATTAAATAAGCTAATATGGTATAGTGTTGATGAAGAGAGATATAGAAGTTTTATGGGATAGAGTGAGTTTCAGGAGATAAAAATAGTCTATATTATTTTCAACATAGTCTTAGAAACGGTAGATGAAACCTCCAACTGAGAGTGGCCTAATGACAATTTCATAATATCGTTAAGTTTGTGAGGTCGAAAGGAACCACGTCTTCACGTCTTCGGCTCCTTAGATCTTATTACACGGAGTAGTTTTTTAGATGACTGTTTGCAGGGCGGAGCCAAGGCTACTCCAAGAGAGTGATTTATGCTTATGTTCTATCTAGATTGGCGCTAAAATGTTTAAATTTGGCTTCCCAGATGTTTTTAGTCTTGCTGAAAATACATGCGCTAGTTAAGTATTCATTGGCTTAAAGGTTGCTGCGCTGTGTACAACACCTATCCTGGTTGTGGCTCTACAGCAAGATCCCATGAAACAGGAGTCATGCCAAAGAGCACTTACATTAATTTATTTGTGCGTACAGTTAGGGCAGTCCAATGGGACATTGGCCTGTTCGTTTGGCTGATAAGCTAGGCTGAAAAGTACCGTTGGCTAATTTGTTGTGAGAGAAAAACATTATTCGTTCGCTAAAAAAGTACGGCTCATAAGACAAGCGAACAAAGCTATTGGCGGTGGTTTCTATAACGATGTCACCTAAGCAAAATGCTGATATGACAATCTGGTTAACAGGAAAGAGAAGAAAAATTGTAGAAATCGTTCCCAAACGACGTCTTCTCTTCACCCAACGCAGAAGGAAACGACCAAATCTCACCATTGGGAAGAAACCGCTGGTTTCTAGGCCCCGCGTGCACTTGCCCGTGCCGTCGCTTGCCATGCCGCGCCGGCCGTGCCCGCCTTACTCGGCCGCGCCGCCGTGCCCGCTCGCCGTTACCCAGGTTGTGCTCGTCGCTCCGCCGTCCGCCCAGGCTGCGCTCGCCGAGGCCGAGCTCCACGACGACGATGCGACACCCTCGCCATGTGCTTGACGTCGTAAACGGCGGTGCCGAAGTAACATCCTGACGTACCGCAGAAACTCCGGGAGCGCCCGCGGGCCGCTGCAGCTTCCGTCCCATGAGCACCTTGACGAGGTAGGTGAAGTCGTAGACGGAGCAGAAGGTGACCCAGGCCACATCGGGGTTACAGACGAGGCCCGACGACATCGGACGGACTCCGGCGGCGAGCAGGCGGACGGACTCTGGCGCGTGGCGGTGCACGCGCGGGTCGAACTCGCGGAAGCTCCATGGTGAGGGCGAGCACGAGCTCACGCCTGGTGACGGGGAACCGAGCTTGCCACGGCCGATGGCCCGGCTCCTTGCCTCGCCGGCACCTGGCTGCCTCCTCTGCCCCCTCGTCCTCTCACCTGCTGGCTGCTGTGCTTGTACTTTTTTTATAGGCGTTGTGCTCAGTGGCAGACCCACCAAATCCTAGCGGCTAAGAATCGAAATCTACAGTACAGTATATATATATATGGATTAAGTCCACTTTTGGCCCCTTAACTCTCATGTCGGTCTAATTTTGACCCCCAAGTACAAAACCGTCGGGTCTGGTCACCGGAACTTTCAAACCCGTTCAGTTTAAGCCCCTCGGCGCGATTGAGGTGGTTTGCGCTGACGTGTTCCCGGTTTTGACTGGTCACGCTGGCGTTAACGGACACGAAGGATCACCGCGCGGGTTAAAAAACATGAGCCGGCCCGCTCAGCTCTCTCTCTCCCTCTCAGTTCCTATCCCCCAAACCCTAGCCGCAGCCTCCATCGCCGTAGCCGCTACCGCATCCTCTCCTCCGGTGCCTCCGCGTCCGCAGTCTCCCCTCCACCTGAGAGTCCTCCGCCGCCGCCTTCGCAGTCTTATATGGCGACCTCAAGCGGGTCCGGCCGAAGTTTGGGGACCCAAGAGTCGCGATGGCGTCGCCATGGCGATTCCCATGGTGATTCGTCCTCACCCATCCCCTATCGTGAAGGACCACTGGAGTATACCCCAGCTGTGCTATGCAAATGCGGTGCAAAAGCTGCTAGGTTCATATCTTAGAGTGATTTGAACCCAAGATTGCGGTATCTGAAGTGTGCACAGGCTCGTGTAAGTTGTTCTCTTCATGATTCATAGTCTATAAATGCATCAGTGATTGAGTGTGTCTCTGATTTGTTGGTTATTGGTTTGTTTCATAGGATGGTGGTTGTGACTTTTCTAATTCGGTGGATCCGCCAAACAGTAGTTTCAAGAAGCAACTTCTGCTTGATTTGCGAGATGCGTTGAAATCTTTGGAAGCGTGCAAGCTGGAGTAAATTGAACAAAGTTTGGAAGATGCAAGAATGGAGACTGCAAGACTCTTGGAAGGTGCAAGAAGGAGAATCAAAGGCTATGACTTAATTTGGAAGGCACAACAAGGAAGAATCAAAACTGCTGACTTGAGCTAGAAAGTATTTGTCGGTACAATGAAGACAGAGGGGCCATGTTTGTTGCAGCCAGGAGAGATGTGGCCATTATGCAAGCTGAATTGTAGTTGGGAGCTGAATCTAGAGTTGAGTTAGAGGTGAGGATAGGGACATTGGAGAAGGAGAGGAAGTTCTTGTTTGGTGCTCTATTTGTGTGTGTAGGATTAGTGGCTGCTTCCTGGATGCCTTGGATCATGTAAGTTAATGTGGTGTTAGCCTTGGTGTAGTTGTAGTTGTAGTTAGTAGGATCCATGTTGGTACTAAAAACCTGTTCAGGTTCTATTATGGGTTGTGTATCAGCTTAATGCATGAGCATAATGCTTAGGACCATGTATGAGTATCATGTTAATGCTCATGTCCTAATGTTTTAGTGAAATGTGGTTGCATGAATCCTTTTATATGTGTAACCAGTGAGCTTTGTCAAATTTTTTATGGCATCTGCACAAAGAGATGACTAAAATTCAATACAACACGTGTCATTCAGTGATTAACACAGATCCAAGTTCATTACAATAGTTTAGGTTGCACACACACAGACTCATGAAGTAAGGTAGAAGGATAGATCCAAGTTCATTACAGTAGTTCATTACAATAGTTCTAGATAGCATAGATAAGATAGATCCAAGTTCATTACAATAGTTCCAGATAGCATAGATAAGACACATACACAGACATGGGCTCAAGGATTTGGGCTGTTGTCAGCAGTAAGGTAGAAGGAGTGGCTCCCTTGTGATCAACTGCACTTGGTCTTCCTTCCTCTAGATAAATCTGCTTGGCTAGTCCTACAGCTGACACAGCAACCTTGGAGGTAGAAGCACCTGAAACTTGGAGGCTTGCTTTACTGTGCTTTCTAGACATCTCTGGTATAGTGGCCTCTAGGGTGACCTTAGCCCGAGCCCCTTCCTTCAGCATTGTCTTCACTCTTGCTGATGACTTCATAGCTTTTTGCCCATCCTGCAAGACAAAGGAAGTATATAACTAAGACAAAGAAAGTATATTACTATTAAGGATGACCACATGGAATAAGCAGTTAAACTTACATTGCAGTGTCTTTTGCTACTAGCAGCAGTAGATGAAGGGCATGACTTCCTTTTTGATGAGCCTCCTCTACCAGACTGTGAAGCACCATCACCTCCTCTAACAAACTGTGAAGCACCACCACTTGCATTACCAGACTGTGAAGCACCACCACTTGCATTACTAGACTATGAAGCACCACCACTTGCATTACCAGAACCTGTCCTCCTGCTACAAGTTGTCCTATTATGTCCAATCCCTTTACATACTCTGCACCTTATAGTTGTTCCTTTCTTGGATAGCTTACCCTGAGGTGGCTTCTTCTTCTCCCCATCTTGCCTTTTCCTCTCCTTCTTTGGCCTTCCAGGCATCCTTACATACCTAGGGGGCAATGGCTTTTCTCTATTTGATACTGGCCAGAAGGCCTTGCCTTCCACTAGTTGCAGGCAGTGTGCATGTCTTGTTGTACTCCTCAATGGAATACACTTGGCTATGAATTCTTCTAAAGGCCTGGATGCATAGTAGATGTAGGAAATAGCATGAGGGCAGGGCAAACCAGACAACTGCTAGAACCTACAGGAGCAAGTTCTCTCATCCAAATTCATAGTGAATCTGTGATCCCAGTAGGTTACTTCATAGCAATTGTTGCCATTGCTGATAGCATGGCAGAACCCACTAGCTGTGACATATGTCATCAGCTTCTTGTAGGTGTTTGGACAGATGAGACTTGTCCACCTTTCTGCCTTGTTCCTGTTCTCATATATTCTTACCATAACTTGGCGCCTTATACCTTCAAGCATACTTATGATTGGAAGGAACCTTGCTTTTAGAATCCAGTGGTTGAAGCACTCACACATGTTATTGTCCATAGAATCACAGAATGACCCAATTTTGAACCATGCTCTACTCCAATGCTCAGGACCAGTTCTCAAAATAGCATTAGCCCCATGTGGTGTCTCTGCCCTTAGCTTGTTCATGTTGTAGTTGAATAGATTCATTGATGAAGACTTTGCACATCTCCAAAAAAGCTTCTGATACTTCTTGTTAGTGAACTTCTTCCTCCAGTTAGCATAGATATGTCTAGCACACATCCTATGCTCCACCTTAGGTGCCCACTTGTTTACAACATTGATGAGCCCCTTCTGTTGGTCAGAAATGAATACCCAGCCATCACCATCACCAAACTGCAGGTCAGTGCTCAACAAAGATAAGAAAAAGTCCTAGGACTCCTTGGTCTCCCTCTCTACAACTGCCCAAGCTATTGGGTACATTTGATTGTTGGCATCTCTACCTAGTGCACAAAGCAGTTCTCCATTGGTTAATCCCTTAAAAAACAACCATCCAGTCCAATAACCTTCCTACAACTAGCAAGAAACCCCTTCTTGCATGCATTAAAGCAGACATAAAACCTCATGAACATGGGTTCAAGTTCTTCAGTGTCAAGCTTCACTACTATTGTACTCCTAGGATTGCTTCTCAGTAGTTCAAGCTGGTAGTCAAACACCAGAGCATACTCCCCCTTGGTTGCATCATACATCCTTTGCATCACAATTGATTTGGCTCTCTTAATCTTTGAAATACTGATATCTGCAAATATTTCCTCCTGAATTGTTTCTCTCATACTCTCAACTGACCATTGTGGGTTAGCCAATATCAACTTCTCATATTTATCTGCTTTCTCGTTGATGTCACTAAAGAGTTATCTCTCCTTGGTGGGCATGTGTGCACATCTTTACATATGGCTATAAGCCAACTACTTGCCCTTGATGTCTTTGACAGATGCAAAACCCAAGTGCACTTTGGCCATGAACAAACTGCTTTACACTTTGTGCTCTCATTCTTCACAAACTTAATCACCTTCCTTTCTGCCAGCCCATACTTGATGATAGCCTCCCTAAATGCTGACTTATCACTAAAAGCCATCCCAACAGTGAATACTGGCACTAGAGCATTGGCATCAAACTTGGGGAATTTCTTCTCCTTCCTAACCAACTCTCCATCAGATGTTTCATCATATGAATCATCCTCTTCATCAATATCCATAGCATGGGAATCACAGCCATCCTCTTCATTAGCACATTCCACATTGACTTCATGCCTTTCCTCATCAACCACCAACATGCCTACAACTTTTAATTTCTTCTTTAAATCCTTTAGCTCTGCTCTAATCTGGATTACCTCCTCATCCTCTCCACTGCTCTCATCATCACCAGGCAAGTAATCCTGGTCACTGGAATCATCCATATCTGAACTATGTTCCTTCTGTACAGGAGCCTCTTCATGAACAGACACTTCTTCTTGCATAACTAACTTCTGTACAAGAGCCTCTTTCTCTCTAACCCAATGCAAATACTTAGTAGCACCTACTAAGTCCTTCTTCACTTGTTCTGGTGATGACATGTTCATTACAGCCAAATCCTCAACCACCACATTATCTTCATGAGGTGTTTCCATCCTAGTGCTTTCACTGTCTGCTCTTTCACTCTCCATTTGAGCATCTTCCTCCCAGTCACTACACTGGTCCTCCCCATCCTCTTCCTCCTCAGTCTCCATGCCATCAGCTTTCACTTCAATAAGCTCAACAAATACATCTGCAACCCCTCCATTAGTAACACATTCAGACATGTCCAAACAAGCCTTGTCATCTACCAAAACTCTGAGCCCATTCAGTAAATCCTTGCTAGGGAACAACCAATGGAGAAGAATAGTCTCTA